GTCCCCTTGGCAATCTCCAACACGCGGGTTGGCATTAAAGATCCGTCCGCCGCATCCTCGGCGGGAGCGGTGGCTGCAGGAGCCACACCGAGCGGGTCTGCGGCGTGTGGCGAGCGCGCCGCTGTCAGCTGCTCGGGAATGCCTCGAGGTTTTCCCAGCCACCGAAAGAGCCGGGGATAAACCTGGGAGGTTGTTCGGTGAGGCTGCCGGGCAGGCTGCCGGTAGCTCCCGGGCTGTAACCCGCTCCTCCCAGCCCAGAAAGCTAATGAAGTCTATGTGCCAGCTGTTACACTCATTTTGCCAGACCCCAGGAGGACAGCATGAAGACAGTCCGTGATCAAAGGCTCTGGAGATCACTGAGGAGCCGAGCGGCAGGAATGTCTGATTGCTTTCTCTTGGAATGCCACAGGCTTCAATACCTCCTTTTTTTCCTTTTTTTTTTTTTTTTTTTTTTAAGGTGTCTTGGTGTGAGATTTAATGATCTAACTTGGGCTTGCTTGTGCTAAAGCCAGAGTGTTTTAGTTAATTTGAGGGAATTTGTTTGCTCTAACTTTAGCTGGTTTGAAAATCTGAAACTTTTCTTCTACTGGTGGCAAGTTAGAAAGACATTTTTCTTGGTAACTAATAAATGATCTAGGGGAAAAAACCAACTTGCTGTGCTTTGGGTGGTAAATCACATATAATATGATAAAGTGAGGTGGGATTAATCGATTTTGAGTTACTGCCGTTTAGGAAAAATGGGAAATCTTTGGTATCCAAAGCTGCTTTGCTCCCAGACAGCTGTCACAATGCAGCTGGGGGGGCAGTGCCGCCCCTGAGGCAGCAGCATTCAGTCACTTTTTCCTTGGGCTGCTCAGCAAAGGCCGTCAGCTCCTGGAGGTGGAGTGGGCAACCTGAATAACTCCCTCTGTTCCCGAGGTGGCTGTTTCCTTCCTCCTCCTCCTCCTTCTGCTTTACTCCAGCGTTTATAGGACCTGGTGCTCTGAGGTAGTGCAGAAACCCTTCCTCGTTCAGCTCCAGTGTGCTGGAAGGGCTCGCTGAAGGTTGGAAGCGTGTTGGAAGGGGATGGATGGAGTGGGAGTGCAGTTACTGATCGAGGTGGAGTGGTGGCTGTCGGGAAGGGAGGTCCTGGTGTTGTCGTGCCAGCTGGTCTGAGATGGCAGGAAGATGATTCAGGGAGCTAAACCAAAATGGGGATGAGATAATGCTCTTTTTGAAGGGACTCTGCCCTCAGCTGCAAGGGTGGAGAGAAGTTCACGGCCCAGTAAATCAGCAGGGCAGGATCTCAGCTGTGTTTGGAAGGACATAGGATCCTCTCGAGCTTAGCACCATGGGAATGCACAGAAAACAACATTTTGTCATCTTTTAGAGAGTGAAACCCTTTTTTGGGGGCAGGCAGGGATAGGAATGAGTTAATTTGGAGGTGAGAGTTAAGTTACAGCGACAGGACCAGACCTGTGGAGCTGTAGACTGAAGCCCACTGGTTTCTGGAGAAACAGAGACAAACGTGAAGCTTTGGGAAGAGAGGAGAGGGTCACTGCCAGGGCTGCTGAGACCCTGGATGGTCTGATGCCTCTGTCTTGCCATCCTGGCTGAGTAGAACACTTCAATAAGCCCATGGGCTGCTCCCTGGTCTGGGATGGCCCATATCCATCCTGGTGAGGTTCTCAGGCTTGGACAGGCGGGTGAGGATGTGCCCTGCAGCATCCTGAGTGTGCTAGGGCAGATGTGCCCCTCTGGCAGTGGGGACAGCCCTGCTCCTGTGCTGGGAAACTGCTGCTGCTCCTAAATGAAAGGTTAAACTGTCCCTTCCCCTCTGTTTGGACTTAATGCCTGTGGTTTATTTTCCTCCCTGTGCCCAGCATTCCGAAGGTCGTGGGGCTGAAACTGGGAGCTGCTGGACAGCCTGTCCTCACGGCTCTGGGCTGAGGGGTCCCTTTTATAGAGGGTCTGTGACAAATGAGGTGCACAGCCAGAGTTATGTCATCTGCAGAAGTACTTCATCTTACTAATTACCTCCAGAAGTAGCAGGCAGATGTTGCTGGGTGCCCCTTGTGTGTGCAGCGTGCTTCCCAGGGGCAGGCATCCATTGGAATGGTCAGGATGGCCCCTCCCCCTGACACAAGTGTGTTATCTTCCTTGTTTCCCATAATCCATGAGCAACAGGCTACTTTAGAGCTGACAAGGAGGTCAAGTGCTGGTTGAAGATAACTGGAAGATGACTTTAGGTGAAGATGTCTGGGTGGAAGTAGGAGAAATGCGGCCTCTACTGTGCTGTGCCTTTCTGATGGGCTGGAGGAGTGGCCAGTGCAAGTGAAAAGTACATTCTCCTTGGTCCACTAAACCCATGTCCAGCTCTATTCAACCTTGAATATTATTCATATCCTCTTACTACTGTTCTAGTTTAAAATGCTCAGATGGTGACAACTCTTGCTTCAATATAACTTTGATCCACGAGTGATGGAGATTCATCCTCCCAAGTAAGGAACAATGAACAGTGGAGAAAGTTGTTCTGGGTAGAGCTCATCTTGGAGTCTGGGACACGTAAATGGAGCCACATCTAACCAAGGTGCTCCTTTTTCTGATTCTAGTAGGATCCCAGTGACTGGTACTTGCTGTCAAAATGGGAGGTCAGGTTTATTGAAATGATGGCAAAGGGGAAGAGTCGTGTTTTTCTATCCCCAAGGCTTTTTAATGTAATATGAAAGAGGCAAAGTTTTTCTACAGGATTTCTAAAGACCCCAAAACTACGAGCTGTGGTCTCGCCCTCTTCTGTGTACTTAACAAGGGGCTTCTGGAGTGTCACCATCTGCAGAAGAAAAAGAAAGAAGTGTTTCTGGGTTGGGTTGTGTTGCTGGGTCTCATCTCCCCACAGTGTTCCCATATTTACCAGCAAGGAAGATGTTTCTGCCATCCCTTCAGAAACAGATGTTGGAGAAACTTCATTCAGATGCCCCAGTGTTGATGCTGAACAATCCTAGCCCAGTTAAAGCCAATATTTCCCCCTTTTTTTTTCCCCTCCAGTCAAAGAACTTTGGTCTTTGTGGCTCGCTGTGTGTACTCACTGCTTTGCAGTTGATCTTACCACTCTGCAAGCCTGTGAAAGCCAAACTGGTAGGTCAAAAGAGGAGTAGCTGTTGACACTGGCAGTAAGGAACATGTAAGGAGAAAGATAAACAGAGGGAAATCAGAGCCTGGATAAAGTAGATCTCCGAAGATAAAGTTTAGTTAAAGATAATGAGCTGGCCTTGTTTAAAAAGACAGCTGCAAAATAACCCAGTAGCTCCATGTGCTGGGGTTAAAGTTGACCCAGAATATACGTTTCATTGCTTTTGATAAATAAATAGTGGAGGGAAGATTTGGCAAAAAGCAACATTGCCCCCAGCCCTCTTCAGCAAAGTGTTTGATGTTAACAAGTTCTCTGGGTGTTTACTTTGTCCTCTGCGCGCGCTGGTGGAGCGGCGCTCCTGCCCTTGAACCGAGGGAGAACTCAAATAAACCAACCCCTTCGGCACAGCTGGGCTCCTCTGCCATCTGCGGCTTCCCAAAACAGCCCCGGCTCGCCTTGGGAACCAGCCTGGGCCGCAGGATTGCCGGGTCTTCCCAACAGCTGAAATAAATTTACCGGATCAGATAAAACTGCCCAGAAACGGGAGCAGAACTCGACAGCATCCCTGCCCGCCCTCTCGAGCTGTCAGTGGAACCCAGAGCGCAGTTTGCAAATAGCCCCATAAAATCCAGAGTGATTCTGTTACAATTGGAGGCTTTTCCTGATGCTCAGTTTGCGTATGTGTTTTACAGTGATGCTCTGATGAGAAAATACCATTATTTTAAAATAAACCACAGGAATAATTTTGCTGCTTGTATCTGTATCCAGCTTCTTAGAAAGCAGATGGCTCCATGGACACTCCAGTGGGACTTATTCCTGTCAGGGACTTATTCCATGTGTGTTGCTGCACTTGTTTCTGTGCTCCAGTAAAGCTCCCAGTTATTGTGTGTGTTGGATACGTGTTTACATACGCGGCTGATAGATGAGATGTTTAAAGTCTATGTTGAGTGTTATCAGCAGCGGAATTGTATGGCCAGGCTGATAAATGAAGTAGCTGTGCTAAATGAGCTCAGATCTTATTCATCATAATGTTATGCAAGGCCAGTAGGACATTTAAGTGAACGACAGCTGCAGATTGATTGTTTTCTTGGAGAAACGAGCGTTTGATAGAGACCGAGAGTGTCACACACACCGTTCCTGAGACTCACCTCGGGGCAAGTTTGGTTGCTGATTCCGTGATTTAGTTTGTATTTTGCTCATTTAACCATTTATCAAAGAATCACTTAGGCTGGAAAAGACCTCTGGGATCATATTTATGATTTATTTGTGTTTTGCTGGCTTAATGACGCAGTTTGTATTTTTTGATGGTGAAAGTGGTATATAGGAAAGAGCGTCACTGGTTTGGGAATATAAATGAGAACAAGACTGATATTGGTGTTTTCTTCAGTGCCACAGTTTGCCTGTAAAGCCCAGCAGAAGGAGCCAGCAGATGACAGGTCTCAGTGAGCAGGTTTAGAGCAATTGTGAGTGGTAGCGGCATCGCAGCAGTAGATTCATGAAAACTTGTAAAACAAGTGCTGCCTGGTGATAGATGGTCAAATGATTGTTGTTTGCAAACAATATTATCTCCAACAGATAAGCTGTTTACTTTGGACTCCAGCTCCTCTGGGTAGAAAGGAGTCTTAATTTATCAAAACAGTGGTTCGATGCAGATGCCTCATGCCCCAGCTGTGGAAGAACTCTTACATTAAGAATAGGACTTGGAACCAAGTGAAGTTCAGCTCTAACTCACTTTTGCAGATGGTTTCTATATTGCAAAGAATATTGGCTGTTTCCTGGTTGTGCCTTTTTTTTTTTCTTTTTTTTTTTAAACCCCAAAGACTTTGTTGTAAGAGAGTTAAAAGAGGGACTCCTGAAACTCACAGTAGACATCTGTTTGTTTGTTTTGTAGCTGTTTCCGTGCCTCGTCTTAGTCTGGAGCCTTGGGCTTTCAACTGGGATAATCTGGCGCTATGCATCCAGCCCCCGGGCGCTTCCAGGCACTGCTCCTCATCGCCGGCCTCGTCGCTGCCACCAGCCCAGGTGAGGCCTCACCCCATCCAGGGGGACTGGCTTGGAGGTTTTGGGGTTGAGCCCAAACTTTTGAACAAGCAACGCTTGGGAGCGCGTTTCAAAGCGGCCACCTTTCGTGGGTGTTGTCAATAATCTGCTTTTAAGGAAGCCTGGAGCACTGAAACGTGGCCTTACACTGAATACAGGACTTTGCTCGGGAAAACTTGGCTCGAAGCAAGCGCCAGAGCGTGGAGGACTCTGGGTTACGTGGGTTTGTTCCTTGGGGTCTCCATGGGTTTAGCTGGACACCGATTCTGCTGCGCACAGTGCATCTTGTGTTCCCAGGGGTCGGGAGGGGTTTGGATTTGCAGCGGGAGAGGGGAATCAGCCCTTTGAAACGTGGAGGCTGATGCGTGGCTGCAGTTGGAACAGCTCTGGCGTTAAAAAAAGAAGAGGGATGGTTTTAATTGACACATCTGCTCTGTGTAGTCAGCTTGTCTTAACGTAACCACACGAAAAAGAAGCTTTTACTACTTTTAGCACTTCATAGCCAGTCGTTATAAGCAAATGGGATAAATTTTATTTTTCAAGCAGCCATAGGAGATAAATTCCAGCTGCAGGGTCACTGCTACCAATTTTGCCTTTTACGCGGAGCACAAAGTGTTGGTGTCAGGAGTGAGGGCAGGGGCGAAGATGAAAGTAGCAGTGTGATTTCATACAATTGGAGCGAGCAAACTGAAAGGTCAGTGTTTCCCTCTTATCCCTGGAAATTCAAACTGAACTAATAGGAAAAACAGTTTTCTAATTAAAAGCTAAAAATGGACATCTGGAGTCCTGTGAAATGCTTGGATACCATTTTTATGGATTTCATCTTTTTTTGTTAAGTGAAGCCACACTTTAATTTCCAGTTTTATTTTATGTTTATGCAGATAGTTTATGGTTCTGTTAAAAATGTGCCGTTTCTCATCTGAAACTCATAACCAGAGCTGGGATGGACTGAGTTGAGAAGAAAAGCATGAGCCCAGGGCCCCACCTACAAGAAAACTGTCTCTGACTTGGATGTCATTTAATATCATCTTGACCCTTACTATCTGGAATTCCTTAGCTCCTTTACGAACTAGGAATTGTTTTTTCCCTGCTGATGTGTCTATTTTTAATTTTGTTTTTTTCTCCTAATTTGTATTGCTAACCAAGTAAGTGTTAGTGGTGCTAATTGCTTTTTGCTTGCTCCCTTCATGCAAAATCTTTAGTGGAGAATTTCATAGAAAACAAATGGAAATAATTCCCAATGTTTCATTGGCCAGGATAGGAAAAAAATCTCCTCCAACAAGCAGGAATTTTCTTCTGGCAAATAAATGGATTCTCATAACCAAGTTCTGTGGAACTGAACCTTTTATTTATTAGCAGCTCTTCCTGTTTCTGTTCATCTTTGCTCAGTAAAGATAATGGATGCCCAATTCATCATCCTTGTCCTGATGAAGTCCATGTATTTGGAATCAGCAAGAGCCTTTGCTGTTCGTCCAGCTTTTTTTTTTATCCTGCTATTTTTAATTAGTTCTGCAGACTGGGAGACGGTTCTGTATAAATACCTGGCAGGCTCCTGCCATTTCTAACATTTTACAAGTCACGTCCGGGCCCCCTTCATATGGGACAGATCAGCGGCAGCTGCGTGTTCCTGAGCTCCGGCTCTTCAGGTGACGGCTGCAGTTTCCCTCTGGATAAATCCAGTGGGATTGCAGTTTGTGCTGGCCCTGGCAAGCACGATGCCTCTGCCTCGGGAATGTATCATCCCCTACGCTGCACCTACCTCCGTTTAATTACTGTCACTCTCTTTGTGGGGTTCAATTCTTGGAGTTTTCCCGGTGTTTGAGAGTGAGCAGGAATCTCTCCTGAGTTCCTGTTGCCAAGGAAAAGGCAACACCTGCTTGAGTATCATTTGCAGCTTGGATCTTAGAGACCCTTTATATGCTCAGTCTTTCAGACCAGTTTACCTTATCACCTGTGCCCATGCAAAATGCTGGTCTCTCTAACTCAGTATTTATATTTTCTTTTAGATTTAACTCCAAGTTTTATTTCTGAGCCCTCTTCTACCATCCAGAAGTCTGGTGAGCCCGTCCAGCTCCACTGCTCTGCCGAGCCCTCCACAGCTCGCCTTTCTTGGCTGTTTAATGGGGAGCCTCTGGACAGCAGGGCGGGAGAAGTGGAAGTCCAGCCAGGATCTTTGACAATCGTCTCCCTCAGCCCCGCGACGTGTGGGCGCTACCAGTGCGTGGCCAGCAGCAGCGTGGGCGCCGTGCTGAGCCGGCCTGCCACCGTGTCCATGGGCAGTAAGTGCATTCTCGTTCATGCCCTTTGCTCCTTGCAAGTCCTGTAGACCTCAGCTGGCTTGTGTGCTTTGTTCTTGTTTGGCTTCTAGAAAAACACCCAGCCTTTTCTTTAGTTATATCATCTGGGACCCGTCAGGTGATGCAGCCCTAGAACAGATTCCCCAGAGAGCTTGAGGATCCCCACCCTTGGAGGCTTTTAAAGCCTCAGATAGACCAAACCACACCCGATGGATTTAGCACTGGTGTCAGCCTCATTTCGAGCTGAAGGACCTCAGAAATCTTTTTCAGCAAACACAAACATTATTCAGTGAAATAACATTCATTTCCATGAATTGACCTGGAAGTGCAGAATTCCTAAACACATCCCTTCACAAAGGATGTTGAAAGAGCAGCTGATCTGCCACACTGTTGCAGAAGTGTGCTTGAGAATTGAGGAGAAATGTGTGGGAATTGTTGCCTGGGAAATAGGTGGGAGATGGCGATTTTCTTTTTCATTTGATTTGATCAGACCAATGTAGATGTTCTGCAGGTGGGGGCAGTCTTCTGTCCATTTAGGGACAGTTTCCCTTTCCTCAGTTTCACCGGTTCTTCTGATCAGTCTTTGCCTTGGTGCTTGATCTGTAAATTATTTGATCTCGAGGGACTTCAGAAGAGGAAGGGGCAATGTTTTCCACATGGAAAGGACGATGTGATGCTGAGAATGGGAATACAATATTCCTGCATGAGCATGATTTGTCTGCTTGGGGCTGTCTGAATCAGGCCTTTGTCAAGCAGGGTTTGAGTGATTTCTCTGGAAGGGTACCTCATCTATGGAGCATGTCCAAAATCCCCCTGGGAGGAAAATCTCCTATAAGTGAAAGAAGTAAGTGTTTTGGTAAAGTACTGACCCATGGCCAGACCCTCTCAAGAGAACTCTAAGGGTGGCTAACATAGAAAAACTTCACAACCTCGCAGATGCTTTGAACATGAAGGGAATAGAAGAGCAGCTTCCACACTTCCCTCCTCCCTTGGAGGTTTTGGCAGCATGCAGGAAAGTGCTGGGATCTCTCTCCTAGGGAAGGTGCTGGGATCTCTCTCCTTGGGAAGGTGCTGGGATCTCTCTCCTTGGGAAGGTGCTGGGAGCTCTCTCCTTGGGAAGGTGCTGGGAGCTGGGAGCTCTCTCCTTGGGAAGGTGCTGGGAGCTCTCTCCTTGGGAAGGTGCTGGGAGCTGGGAGCTCTCTCCTTGCCTCAAGGCTCACGGCAGTGAGAGGGAGGCTCTGCTGCACTCACTGCTGTGTTCCTTATCATCACAGAGAGACAATTCCATGTTTTTGGGGACAGGCTTCCTGCTGTCAGTGTGAATTGTCTCCTGTAATGCCTGCAGAGCCCATGAGGAGCCCTGCAGCCTTCCCAGTGTCTTTGCTTGCTTTTCCAGGAGCAGTTGAGGGAACATAGGAATTATTTTTTCTCCTCACTATTCCCATGTAAAAGCTGGTGCTTGCTGTAGTAAGGAAGTGGGTAAGGAGTGTTTGTGCTATTATGGGCTGCAGGATAGACCATGCCTGTTGATGTGAATGTCCAAATGCTGCACCAGAGAAGATAATCAGGAGGAAACCAACTGTCTTTAACCAACTGAGCTTACTGCCCTTCCTCTCTCCCAGGCCGTGGCTGCTCTTACCCTTTTCCCAAATCTCTCCAGGTCTGGCTGACTTTGATGCCTCGCTGACAGCTGCTGTTGCAGCGGAGGAAGGAGGCTCAGCTCTCATCGGGTGCAAGGTGCCAGAAAGTCACCCCAACGCACAGGTTCGCTTCCAAGTGCGGGGGAAATGGCTGGAACAATCAGTAGGTGAGATTTTTTTTGTGCAATATAAGTATTCAACAAAAGCTTGCCTGGAGTTTTTTCCTAGAATGTACAGAAAAAAAATCCTCGGAAAACTTGCAGAACTTCCTGTGCATGACTTTATCTAAACCCGTCTGTGGAAATGAATCTTCTTTGAATGGTGATCTCTTTGTCATCCTATGTTTAGAATAGATCAGTATAGCTGAAAAGTTAATTAAAAAAAAAAAAAAGAGGAAGCCTTTTTTTGAAACTAAATTAAATATAATCTTCTTTTTTCCTTCCCCACTTGTTTAGAAAACTACCTAATTCTTCCATCTGGAAACCTGCAGATTTTGAATGTATCTTTAGAAGACAAAGGATCCTACAAATGTGCAGCATACAACCCAGTCACTCATGATCTCAGAGTAGAACCCACTGGACGTAAGCTCACAGTCACACGTGAGTATCCTGTTCAGCTTCCCAAAAAATACATCTCAAACTGAATAAATAACATCCCTAGGGGTTTTTAGCATGGGCATTCTCTGCACATTCAGTTCTTATTTCCCCTCACTGTGGAAGAGCAGCGTAACTGCTTTTCAAATCCCAGGAAGACACAGCACTCAGCCCTTGGAAGGGGGATACTGCTTATACTTCTGTCCCCAAACCTATTTTGGAGCAAGACTTCTTGAAGAGAGCGTTACAGCATCGTGCTTAGTCCCAAGTGCAGACAGATGTTTTTGACAGGGACTGAGGAACAGGATGGGAGGTTTAAAAGTTTGATTGGTGTCAAGATTAGAGGGCTGGAGCACCTATTCTGTGAGGAAAGGCTGAGAGAAATGGGATTGTTCAGCCTGGAAAAGAGAAGGCTTAGGGGTAATGTGATTGTGGCCTTCCAGTACCTGAAGGAAGCCCACAAGAGAGCTGGAGAGGGACTTTTTACAGGAGCATGGAGTGACAGGACAAGGGGCAATGGCTTCTCACTGACAGAGAGTACGTTATGTCAGATATCAGAAACAAATTCTTCCCAGTGAGGGTGGGGAGGCCCTGGCACAGGTTGCCCAGAGAAGCTGTGGCTGCCCCATCCCTGGAAGTGTCCAAGGCCAGGTTGGATGGGGCTTGGAGCAACCTGGGCTGGTGGAGGGTGTCTCTGCCTGTGACCAGGGCTTGGAGCAAGATGAGCTTTAATGTTGCTTGCAGCCCAAACCACTCTGTGATTCTATTCTACAGTTCATCTCCTTTCTTCCAGGCCCTTCCTCAGGTGGCTCCCACATCCTTCACCCCCTGGCCCCCCAGAGCCTGGCAGTGCCCCTGCACAGTGCCCTGACACTGGAGTGTGTGGTCAGCGGGGCGGCTCCCTCGGTGCGCTGGGCCAAGGACGGCCGGGATGTGCTGGGGCGAGGCCGGTGGAAACTGCTGCACTCCCACCTGGTGACAGACCGGCTGGAGGCATCAGATGCTGGAAACTACTCCTGCCTGGTGGGAGGTGACTCTGGAGCAGTGAAATACGTTAACTATTCACTTACTGTACTTGGTAAGAAAAAAAGATTTTGATGTCCAGGCAACGAACATTTTCTTTATATACCTGCTGGTTTTGGCATCTGCTCCCAAACAGCCTCACATTCCTTCTCAGTCTTAAGCATATTAAAATAAAGAACACAGATCTGTTCATAATGACCATGTCCCAGCATCTCTTCCAAGTTAAAATCCATAATTATTTATCTCTTCAAATCCTTTGCAGTCTGAAATAATGAAACAGTGAAGGATAACAAACTCGAGGGGAGGAACTGATCCATTTATTTTCCTGCAGAATGCCAGTGTCAGTGATGTGCCAGGGATCAGATGTGCCTCTCTTAAGGTTCTACATGAGCAAAAGGCTGGTGAGGGGAGGTGAGATGTTTGGATGAGGACCTAAACAGAAGCAAAAGAAACATATTCATACATTTGGCCTCTTTGGTGTGGCTGCAAGTTGTTTCCTTTTCCATTGTAGCAGATTCTCCTGGTGTTTGAGGTTTCTGCATCCATGACTGTTTTTGTTTGGGTTTGGAAATGTGTATGTTGAAGTTACTCAGAAAACAGGGTGTTGACACACAACATGCCTTTTTTTGGGGGGTGTCACTAACAAATTATTTTGAAAATAGAGGGGTTTAATTTATGGAATTAATGCAAACATGAGGCTGTTTGGGACAGAAGGGAAAAACCATTCAAATAAACCTACGTGTGGGAAAACCAGCTTTGGGCTGTGCAGAACCAGCAGTGTGTGGTGCTTGCTCAGCCTTTGCAGATGATGAGCCTGTGGAACGTTCCACAGCAGTTTTCTCAGAGCTGAGTCAAAGATCAGCAGACTGTGGTTTATGTAAAATCACTTCCCTTTCCAGAACCTGCCTCACTCTCCAAGGGGCTGCAGGAGGAAACCGTGGCCACCGGGGCGACGGTGCATTTCTGGTGTGATGTCCGGGGCAGCCCTGCTCCAGCCCTCTCCTGGCTCCACAACGCAGCTCCCCTGCGCCCCTCCCCACGGCACTTCCCAACGGGAAACCACCTGCGGATCTGCGGGGTCACCCTGGCGGACTCTGGCTTGTACCAGTGCGTGGCAAACAATGGGATTGGGTTTGTGCAGTCCACGGGGAGACTCCGTGTCCGGCCAGGTAGGAGCACTTGCAGCCCTCAGGGGATCCTTTTTGCACTGCAGGCTTTATTCTGTTTTGATTTTTTCCCCCTAGATTATGTATTAATTTGTTTCTGACCACTAATCTTACAAAGAAGGTGCTTTCAGTTGGATTTTAAGAGATTTTTGGGATCGTGTTATTACTTGATACTTAAAACCTAGATTACCACCTGCAATTAAATCAGCTTATGATTCAATTTGACGTGATTTATGCTTAAATAGAATCAGGGTCCTGTTGTGCTGGATGACCTGGTACTCTTAGCAGTATTGGCTGACGAGTAGTTATGCCTGTTCCGTGCTCAAATTTGCAAAACAGTCCTCAGGTTTGGGGTTAATGCACACTTCCCCTTTACCAGATTGGCAGGATCAGGTACCAGCAGTCTTTTTGATTGCTTTTCAGTCTAAGATACTTTCTAGTGCCCAGAGAACTTGATTTCTGCTAGCACAATGATGTTGGCAAGACCACTGCTGTCCCTGTTCTCTCCCTATCACGTGTAGCTGAAGCTTTGAACCTTCTCAGTACCAGTAATGATCTGTGTGAGCTGTGCAGAGCCTGGCTGAGCAGAGATTTTGTGGCCTGCTTGTGTGTGGAGTGCCTAAGCCAGTCTTGCCTGCAGTGTGTTCTTCACTGGCAGTCAAGTCTTTGTCATTTAGAGAAGCTGAAATGTGGTTTGAGTGTAGGTTTCTCTCAGCCTGCTCTAAGCACGAGTCTCGGCTGATCTCTCCAGTCCAGAAGGGAAGCCTGGAGATGCTGTGTGGAGAAGAAAAAACTGTTAAAATGGTTATAAAGAACCACGTGAGACTTTTTAAATCGTGCTGACTGACTTGGGCTCATTGTTTGCATTTCCCCCGGCACAGGCTCTGTCCCCGTCATAGTCTCTTCCCCCGGGAGTGTCACCGTGGTGGCCGGTGGGGACGTGACGCTGTCCTGCAATGCCACCGGGCTGCCCGCGCCCGCCATCCGCTGGTACGACAGCAGGGGCCTGCTGACCAGCCACCCTGCCCAGGAGCTGCATCCCAACGTGCAGAGGCCTCCCCTGGCAGGGCTGGAGCACTCCTGCCTCTCCGTGTCCCAGGCAGGCTGGAGCTCCTTGTCCCTGCGGAACGTGACTCCGGAGCGTGCCGGGGAGTTCAGCTGCGAAGCCATCAACGAGCACGGCTCTGCCGTGTCCAAAACCTTCCTCACAGTTGGTAAGTGAAGCCCCAGACCATCCAGCTGGCTCCCTGATTTAGGTGAGAAATGCCTCCAGATAAGAACTGAGTGGCAGGTGGGTGGGGTGGGATCCGGGGGGGAAATGAAGCTGAGGAGTCTCAGTTGTCTTCGTGGACCAGTTCCTCCCTCCCCCTTGTAAGCAAAGGAGAAATTCTGTGTGCATTGCATGGACATCTTATATGGGACAAAAAGTATCCAAGGGTGGGTTTTTTTATTTATTTCTTGAAATTACTAAGAAAAAACAGTTTACACTAAAGGCAGGATGGGAAAGAGCCATTTCTTTTCCTCACATTGGAATATTATGTGACATTAATGAAAGGTTTAAGCCCCCCCAAGTTTCCTTCACAAGAACTGAGAAGCAGATTTTTAGTTACATGAAGTGACTTAAATTTCTTAGCTCTTTCAGCACCTTGCCTTAGTTAATTCAGCTGAATGCCAGGAGATTTCGGGTCAGTGGGATTTAGTAAGTGGCTCCATATTTAAAGTTCTTTGGTTAGAGTTTAAAACTCCTGTAAATAACTTGAAAAGATGCATAAAGGTTCACTTAGAGAAAAAAAGAAAGAAGAAACCTCAAGAAAGTGATCCCATCATGTAGTTTTATAAATCAGTTATTGTTGGACCTTGCTGAGTGGAAACATGAAACTAAATATCATCCCAGAATTCAGTCTGTGTCAAAGAGAAAAATCCCTCTGCTTTGCCTTGGAATTTTATGGCAGTAAGTTCAATTTTAATGCTTTGTTTATTAACTTTTATCGGTTTCTAATATGCTGTACTGGCTGCTGATTATGGTGCAGAGGGTGGTTAAGGCATTTGGTTTTGATATAAAAGTCCCTGAGGAGTTTCTGGGAGCTGTTAGGGGTTTAGAACAGCTCCCAGCCATGCCGAAGGCATGCTCAGACATTCAGCTGTCTAACGAAGAATTCATGCCAGGTAACACTTCCGAGGCACCTGAATGACTTCAGCTGGGATTCCAGAGCATTTCTGGAGCAGGATCAGATTAAGCTCCTCTCAGCCTCACTGCCTTGTTCCCCTAATTTGCCTTGTCCCAGCACACAGAAAGAGAGCTCATTTGGCTGAAAAAATGCATCTTTCTTTTTTTTCTTCTGCTGGATCTGTTCCAGGCCGTGATTCACGGCACGGTCTTACAGCGGGCAGGACTTCAGCTGCCACCACAGTGAGAAACCACCAAAATGTAAAACGATGCCTCGGGATCCTGTACCCACGGCCCTCCCTGCCTTGGTGTCTTTTTTAGACACTTGTGGGGTTCGCCTGCATGGCAGTAGCTTCCCAGAGCTACTGAACACAAGGTTAATTCTCCAAAATAACTTCATCTAATGGAAATGAAGGAGAAAAATACACTCCAGGCAGTTTGAATAGCAGGAGAGTGAGTGTAAAACACAAGAAGGAGTATTTAGTGTATGCAGGTGGGTGACTCAGGGGCAGGAGGCTGAAGTTGCTCCTACAGAAGCCTTATAGAACCTCTGAGAAGTCCTAAGGAGATTTGAAACTCTTGTCAGGTGTGGGTGACCTCACTGATGTGCTGCATTCAGGTTTTCAGGGGGCTTTCCCAGCCTGTGCTGAGGTACTTGGAGAGCCCGTGAGCAGGGCAGATCCTCTGGCTGTTTAAGGAGCAGGGAGCAGTGCCTGGGAATGTGATCTGCTTGCACAGCAGAGACAAACCCCCGAGCTGCTGTGCAGCCAGGGCACAGCACAGGCTGGGATCTGCCTGTGGGTGCACCCCTGTGAGGAGGCTGGAAAGGTGAGGGCTCTTTGCCCTCAAAATGAGGCAGTTGAAGGGGAGAAACAACAACAAGCAAAGCACTGGGCGTTATGGAGAGTGTGAATCACAGCTCTGGAGCCAGGCTGGGAGAGCTGGGGGCGTTCACCTGGAGAAGAGGAGGCTTTGGGGAAACCTGAGAACCCCTTCCAGTGCCTAAAGGGGCTCCAGGAGAGCTGGAGAGAAACTGGGGACAAGGGGGAATGGCTTCCCACTGCCAGAGGGCAGGGTTAGATGGGATATTGGGAAAAAATTCCTGGCTGGGAGGGTGGGCAGGCCCTGGCACAGGTTGCCCAGAGAAGCTGTGGCTGCCCCATCCCTGGAAGTGTCCAAGGCCTGGTTGGACGGACCTTGGAGCAGCCTGGGCTAGTGGAAGGTGTCCCTGCTCATGGCAGGGGGTAGAACAAAATGAGCTGTAAGGTCCCTTCCAACCCAACCCATTCTAAGATTTTATGAATGCATTCCTTTAATGCCCGAATTCGGGACAATCAGTCCTTCTCTGATTGCTGTTGGAGGAAGGGCTTTGGGGACATGCAGGCTTTGGTCTGACCCAACTCAGGGCTGCTGGTGTTCCACAGTGGGACTGGGAAGCCAAGGAAGAAAAGTCTCCATGGATAAAGGGAAAGGGATGGCACTGAGAGCAACAGCCAAAAAAAGTTGCATAATGACACAGCAGCAGAGAGAAACCTGATGTGCTGGGTTATATGGGTAGCAATTACGCCAGAAACTTCTCAAAAAGAGCTTAGATCTGAATTGCTTAATGGGAGTTGTTACCCAGGGGTTGTTTTCCGAAGCAAAAATACGAACAGCTCAGCAGTTGTTGACGACTCCCCCCCCCCAGCAATAAACACAGCGCTGGCTGCGGGTCTGCTGTCACCAGCTGAAACCACAACTCATTCTCCACTCCAAGAGTCCGTGTCCCCAATGCCAGCAGGCGTCAAACCGAGCTGTGCCCACCCACACATCCTCGGGGTCCACCACGGTGCCACGGGCCTTCCACCTCCTCCCATTTGTTTCCAATATCGGGCCCTTCCCGCCACTCTGCTGACAGTGGAGATACCCCTTCGCCTGGGGGTTGTTCTGGGGGTGTCTGGCGTTTTAAGGCCATCTGGCTTCGGGGACATCCTCCCTCCCCGCATTGTTCCCTTCTTCCTGTCTCCGAATTTTGTGGCGTGGCTAAATAAATGAGAAGAAACAAACAAGGAATTCTTGCCGAGAGCGTGTCTTCAATTTGAAAAGGGAACTTTCCTCCCCAGCTTTTTAGAAAGTGGCCAAAAATAGCAGCCACACTTGCTGCTGGTATTTTAATGGAGGTTTGGAGGAATCTGAGTCAGCCAGGCTAACACTGCCTAGGCTTTACATTACCAAGGAATTTGTTTGTTTTGTAAACCAAGTTCCCTTCATTCCCTTCCCCTTCCAGACCCCAGCACGTAACATAAACCTACACAAATCTGAGAGGACGGACAGGGCTCTGAACATCTGGCAGTCCCAACGCTGCCATGTGCAACCTTGAGGAGCTGTGCTGCTTCCCAAAACTCCTCGCTTTAAGCACTGACGTTTTCTTGTCCTGGATAATCTCAGATGTCCAACCTGCCATCCCTTTCCTGCCTGGAATGCTGACGAGCCCTGCATTGGCTGAACAGGGCTTTTTTTTTTGCCTCTTTCGAATTAATATTATATATATTTTTCTTTTCGTGCCAGGAAACATAAATAGGATGGAGGAGGCTGGAGAAGGATTTCTAGAAATGCGTTGGTATTAAATTGCATGTTAGATCTGCCTGTAAACTGAGTTTATTCTCAGCATAAATTTTCAAATGAAGTAGTTGAGTCGTGCAGCTTTCAAAGCTTCTCGAAATTGCAGCTAAAACCTCAGAAACTGAGGTAGGAGAATGTCCTCTTGTGTGCATGCCAGTGCAGGCCATGAAAAGTTCCTTGTACATTGACGATTAATTTAAAATTGCTCCATTTGTGTCACAAGTGTAGCTATATATATTTATTTCTTTCTTTTAACATGCATTGCAACAACTGAATTTAGGGGAGATACAGTCAAAGTGTGCCTGCAGACCTTGAGTTTCAGGTTTTTTCTCTTTACTACTGTGAAAAAAACACTAAACCAAATAAAACAAACCAAACCCCACTGCTGTGCCCTGGAAAAACACCGAGGCTGCAGCTTGGCACTGGGCTCAGGTCTGTGTGGGCACCTCTGGACCTGGAGCTTTGCAGCAGGGCTTGTTTGGAAATGTCACTCTGAAATGATTTAGTGTCCCGTGGGCGCGGGGCGAACGTACGTCATCGTGGGGATGTAACCAGACCCTCCCTTTGCAGTTCCTCCAGCAACTGGCACGAGAGCAGGAGAAACAGCTCCTCTGGAGCTTGCCCAGAGCGATGAGAGCGGGGCTGATTCCGGAGCAGAAGCGGCGTTTTCAAGCTCCCCTCCGACCAAAGCGCCTCCGGACGCGGCTGCGATGGAGAAAGCGCCGAGTGTGGCCGCCCCGCCCGAGGCCCCCATCATCCTGAGCCCCCCCCAGACACCAAAACCCGACACCTACAGCCTGGTGTGGCGGCCAGGCCGGGCTGGGGGGCTGCCCATCAATGCCTACTTCGTCAAATACCGCAAGGTACCGTCTCCTGTCTCCCTGGCACAGGTGGATCGTGGTGCTTTGGGCTCCTCAGGGAACCAGCTGTGCTGGTATCGACCAGGCCATGGGGCTCAGGCCAGAGAGAACACAGGGTGTAGTTGAAGCACAGCCTGCCCACAGCTCATTTTAAGGGTGACTGATGTTGTCACAAATACGCTGTTCTGGTTTGAAGTGAGAGTTATGCAACCAGCAGTAGGACACGAGGGCTCAGTCTTAAATGTGCCAGGGGAGGTTTAGGTTGGACGTGAGGAAGGAATTCTTTACAGAGAGAGTGCTCAGCCATTGGAAGGGGCTGCCCAGGGAGGGGTTGGAGTCACCATCCATGGAGGTGTTTAAGGTGAGGCTGGATGTGGCATCAGTACCATGGTCTAGTTGACAAGGTAGTGTTTGGTCATGGGTTGGACTCAGTGGTCTCAGAGGTCTTTTCCAATGTAGCTGATTCTGTGATTATCCAGGCTTTTATGTCTTTTACAGTGTCATTATGGGCAATGAGGCTCCAGGGCATGCTCTGTGCAACGTCAGTGGTGCTAAAAATGTATTTGTGTGAGCAAGATTGAATCTGTGTGTGAGAGCAGAAGGGAAGCTGGGTTTTACCCCAGCGTGTCACAGAGTTTGCTGCTTTGCGTCCCAAAGGGACTCGATTAAACGAAAGTTAACAAATACGAAGGTGAATTAAAATTTGCTGGGCATGTCCCTAAAAATGGTGTGTCAACACTGGACTCTTTTGCTTAAAATCACATGGTGGGATCCTTGGGGCTGTCCTGTGCAGAACCAGGAGCTGGTCTTGGTGGTCCTGGAGGGCCTCTTCCAACTCAGGAGATTCTGTGATTCTCAAATCAGAACCAAGCAATGCCTGCATCTGTTCTTCCAGGCAAACAGTTTTCTGCATGGCAAAGCTGTTTGGTTTATTTTTCCTAAGCTTTTTAATCCCCTACATCCTGATCTTGTCTTAGCCTGGAGGGAATGCTTAGATTTTTGACCTGTTGGCTCCTGAAAACCTAGTGCCAGAGTCTGTTGATGATAATTTCTTATCCAAAGACGGTTGGTTCACGTAAGTCCTGGAAGCTTTGGATGCTTTTTTGACCTTTTTGATGCTCACCCTTCACTTACACCAATCCTTTCCACACTAAATGTGCTCACTCGGGTTTCTCGGCAGGGAGTTTACCCTGGTTTTTAGGGTGGTGCTCTCTATGTGTCATTAAATTATTTTATTGATTTCCCTCTTTTAATAGAGGGCAAAAAAAATGTTGGGGGAATAAAAGACTTGGAGTGGTTACTGCAGAAGAAAATAGTCAAACAAAGACCTCTGGCATAACCTTTGATAATCCACAGCGTTTAGATCTGCCTCCAATGTTTTATTAAAGTCTTATATTGTTTAGGAGTTTATTTTTTGTGGAATCTTTGTCTTTTCCTTTGGGATTTGGGGTAATGTTTTCCTGGAAAGGTCAAGCATTAAGAGACTACCCTGAATTTCTTTCTTTTCTTAAGTGGAGCTGATAGTTTCACTGCTAAGTTAAAAAGTGTTTCGGTTTTTGTTTTTAAAAAAAGGAAACATGCATTAATAAACTGAAATCTTTCATCTCCCTGCTGACATTTTTCCAGGCTTAAGGAGTAACTAAGGCATAATCTTTGTTGCCCATTTCAGCCAGTAAATATTTAAAAATGCTGAAGTATAGGGAAAGCTGGGCTAGTTCAGGGAACATGTCTCCCATCAGGGTGTTGGGTCCAGCCCTTTAGTGGCACACACTGCCAGCTGAAGGCTGACTGAAGGCTTGAAAATCGTTTGGGCTCTTGAAGTTTTAACCACGAGTGAAAATGGAAAAAAAAAAAAGGTCAAAACCACGTGTGTGTGTGTGTGTGTGTGTGCATGGAGAGGAAAAGTAAGTCGAGTTCATCCCAGGAGTGCTGTGAAAGTGGTTGCAAGAGTGGTGATTTGTGGTAGAAGCACCTGGAGACAAACCATGGGTAGATGCAGGAAAACAGAAGGGGTGTTGGCAAGGGGCAGAGGTCGCTTGGGTGCCTGTGCGTGGAAGCAGAGCGGGCTTTGGGGGTTCCCTGGAGTTCGCAGCTGACGCTGAGTTTGTGTCCCTGTCGTGTGCAGCTGGAGGACAGCGTGAGTGCAGCGGGCAGCTGGCACACCGTGCGTGTCCCCGGCAGCGAGAACGAGCTGCGGCTGACGGAGCTGGAGCCCTCCAGCCTCTACGAGGTGCTGATGGTGGCCCGGAGCGCCGCCGGCGAGGGCCAGCCCGCCATGCTGACCTTCCGCACCAGCAAGGGTAGGTGCAGCTCAGCGGGCCCTCTGCCCTGCCCTCCCAGGGACACTTGTTTAGTGACATAAGCCACGGGCTGTCCGCTAAGCCACGTGTGAAATAATCTGCGATTTGTTTGCCGAAGAACAGCCTCAGCAGCTAAAATAGCTGTGGGGCAAACTTCTCTGAGCGTTACCAGGGCTGTTGGTGAGTAGGAGCTATTAAAAGCTTGATAGTATTACTTTTGGGGTGATTATTGAGATTTACACTGTGAGGTTCCTCTTGCTTAAAGAGGTGAAATCAAGGAGCAGCCTGTCCTTGTTGAGGTTTTTCAGAGGATCACAAAAGGAACTCTGCATCCTCAAGTTTTCATGTATCAACAAAGCTGCTCCTGGTTTGCTTTGCAGACACCTCAGTCACAGTCTCTGCCGACCACGAGCCAGCTGTTCTGATAGCTGTGCAGACAGCAACAAGCACAAGAACATTCCTAATCAGACCATTCTTTTTCTTTCATGTTTGGACACTGGTGGCTGCGCTTTTTAGCATGCAAACAATTTTTCATACTGTAGTCCAAGAATGGCTTTAAAGTGACAGAGAGCACAATTAGATGGGATATTTGGAAGAAATTCTTGGCTGTGAGGGTGGGGAGGCCCTGGCACAGGTTGCTCAGAGAAGCTGTGGTTGTCCCATCCCTGGAAGTGTCTAAGGCCAGGTTGGACAGGGCTTGGAGCAACCTGGGATAGTGGAAGGTGTCCCTGCCATTGGAATGGGTTTTCCATTAGGGTCCCTTCCAACCCAGACCATTCTGGGATTCTATTCAGGACAGGATAGCTTAAATTTTATTAAGAATGTGATGTATTCATGAAATCTGTGAAAGCTACTTGGGATCCTTTGCCCTATACATCCTTATCATTGTTCTGTCAACAAACAGATCCAAAACTGATGACCCCCAATCTCTGAAAATCTTACCCCCTGCTAAAAAAAGTCAACAAACTCCCTAATTGTGACCTACCCATGCCCTGAAACATGGCATGATGAAACTTTGGGACCCTCCCAGGCATCTGCCTAACAACACAAATCCTGACTGACCTCCTACTCACCCTACCTGTCACAGCAGACACAGCCCCAGCTGCCACCACTCTCGCCCAGAGGCACAGAAATGTTCACTATGGCTGATTGATCCCTAAGCTGCTCCAAATGGAGCCTCATTCTTCTTCACCTGCATCCATCAGCACGTTGAATGAGGATTTTACTACAGCTCCTGCTTACACAAAGAAACCTGCTAACCCTCATCGCAGCCCCCTTCATAGGCTGTGTGCTGCCATGAGGCCAGGTACATTCTGAGGGGCCACAGTCATCACTGGCCTGTTCTCAGCCATCCTCTGCCTTGGTGTAGAACGAGCCTGAGGAGGATTCTCCATAGACAACTCCACACTTACCTGAATATTTGCCCCGTGCTTCCTCCCTTTATAATCACAGGCCCCACATTCCTCCACCCCACCTTCCTCCATGAATCAGGCTCCAACAACCCCCAGGGTGTTGTAGCAAATGGTGGCAAAATCCCATTCCACCCATACTTTTCCATAAAAGACACCTTAGGATTCATGCTCATGTTCCTCCTACTACTAACCCTCCCAACTTACTGGGGGACCGAGAAAGCTTCACACCAGCAAACCCACTTGTCACACCCCATTGTATTAAACTGAAATGATGCTTCCTGTTCTCTGTCCTGTGCTCAATCTCCAGAAAGAGGAGTCAGAACTGCTACCCCGACCCTGCTCCGTACTGTGCTGCCACAGGCCACAAGCCCACTCAGCCTGGTGTCCTGGCTCCTGCAGCTCCCACAGCATTTTCACTCTTTCTCTAGACATGGATTTGGGTGTGACATTTTCCCCACCAGGTGTGAGGTTGTGATGAGAGGGCTCGGCAGTGCAGGACGGAGCCAGTGGCAACACCGCCGAGCACTGCAAGGGGACGGTCACTCATCCACAGCACCACTCCCTGGGCTAGTGGGGCAAGTCTCTTCTCTTGCTCTCCCAAACTCCCTATAATTGCTCTCCTGACTGTTCAGCTTGGGATTTGGAGGCAGGGCTGTGCCATAGCAAGTGACCTTCTAGAGTGAGTGTACTGAGGAGGTCAACAAACAGCATTTCCTTATCCAGTCCCTGAGCTGATGTATTGTCTGTCAAATCTTTCTTAGAAAGAACATCATCCTTGAAAAACACTCAGGCTCCATCTCCACCCATGGGCATCCCTAAACAACCCGTTGTTCATGAAGGCACAAATAATTTCGGTGTTGTCCTTCCAGACCTGTCTCGCCACAGTGGAGGTAGGAGTGGGGATGGTTTGTGATCCAGGTGCTAAAAGTTGTGTTGCAAAGATCTGCATTTGAGTTAACCTATGTTTATTATTGCTTTGGGTGCTTGTATTGCCTCTTCTATTTCCTGTCTATTCTGAGACTGCTCTGTTGCATAGGGTATTTCCAAGGATGCTGTTACCTGCATGTGTGGCTCTCAAAAAAGAGAATTTTCACTTGCAACCCACGTTCCTGCTGCTCATTTTTAAACCTGCGCTTGCTTTTTACAAAATACTCTGGTCTTCTCTTCCCTTCCACTCTAAAAGAGCTGGAGGAAGAAGGGAAATGGGAGATGGCTGTGTCAGAGGTTTAAGTTCTTGAAGTGGATGATATCTGTTCTGAATGTCTTCCTGTGGCTTCCCAGGCAAGGGGTTATTTCTGATGGTGAGGAGATACAAGCACTTCCCAGTAGGTGTGACTTCTACTCTGCTTTCCAGTGAAAACAGCATGTTTGTAGTCCTTTTTCTCACCCAGCCCCGCCTTTGAACCCTTGGCCTGATTCAGGCAGATTTCCTCAGGGGCTGAGATCTCAAAGGTGTCAAAAATTTGGGGTGAAGCCAAAGGTGAGCGGAGAGGTTTGATAACGCAGGCAGGGAGCTGAGCATTGCACACTTGTGGCAGCACTGAATGTCAGAGGAGCCACACAAGGGCCTTACTTGTGTCTGGCTGCAAATGCTCAGCTGCTTCACTCCCCAAAGCTGCCAGCCTGATATTCCTTGCTCTGTTCCCCTCCTCAGTGCCAGCTCTGTGTTCACAAACCCAGGCTGGTTCAGTAAAGCCTCACAGCTCTTACAACCAGGTTTACTAACACCCCTCTTTCCTTTCTCTCTGTCCCACTGCTGCCTGTAACTTCAGTGAGTTCCGTAAGTATATCCTAGTACATACTTTATTTGTTCTTCCTTCTCCTTTCGCCAGCATTCCAGTTAGTGGGGATGGGTTGAAGTTTCATTGGGTCTGTGAAGAAATTTAGGGGGGTTGAAAATAATAATCACATTTTTTCCCTTCACTTAGTCTATGTGTCTGTTTCCATGTAGAGATGGTCGGGGTAGTGCAATACTGTATAATTTTTTAATATTTTATTGATAAGGTAATCAATTCCTCTGTTGTCTCCTGGTCATCCACCTTTTCCAGCAGAGTAAGGGCAGTGGTGATTACAGGAGGATTTCAGATTCTCCTTGTTAGTATGTGAAGTCCAACTTAATCACCAGCCAGGAGCCTAATCGGTTGTTACAGAAAATGAAGTTCCAGCTGACTCTAATCCTCTTGCAACCGAATTTCCCATTTCAGTTCCAGAAGCTCCAGACCGACCCACCATCTCCACAGCATCGGAATCGTCCGTCTACGTCACGTGGATCCCCCGGGCCAACGGGGGCTCCCCCATCACAGCCTTCAAAGTGGAGTACAAACGCCTGGGTCGCAACAGCGACTGGCTCGTCGCAGCTGACAACATCTCCCCCTCCAAGCTGTCCGTGGAAGTTCGGAACCTGGAGCCAGGTATTAGAAATCATCTTTCAATACTGCAGCTCTCTGGTTGTTTCATTTTAACTTCTTGCTTGGATTATCCCATTTCTGCTTGATTAGGCTTGGGTTTTGTGTGTGGCCTAGGAGCTCGTTACAGGAATTCAAGTTGATTTCTGGCTTTCCAAGTGGAAAAAGCCCACCACCATAAATTAATACTTGTTCATGTGGAGAGGAGGGTTGTGTATCTCTGCTATTTTTAACTTAATTGTCCTTTTAGTGAGCACTCAGAATGCAAAGAGAAAAATGCAGTGATGAAAAAATATCTGTCCTGACTTCTCACAGTGTCCAGCCCTGAAAATTCAGGGAAAGAGCGCAAGAACAGAGGCAGTGGATGCTGACAGGGATCCTTTAAAACATCTTCTCTGTATCCACCAGTTTAGGGACCTCCTGAGCTGATGGAGGCATCTCCATCTGTGTGTGGATTTTCCCTGAGTGGCTTTTAGAAGTTGTTTATACTTCTGATCTCTGCATTGGTCTGCGGCAAGGAGTCCTCTGCTTTTCCTAAAGGACGTTTTGCAAAAAGTACCTCCTAATCTGTTTAGTCTCTACTTGAATCCCCTTTCCAGCGCTCGTTTGGCTACCGACGGCTTCTTTCTTTCCCTTAAAAGGAGAAATGTACAGGTTCCGTGTGATCGCGGTGAACAACTACGGGGAGAGCCCGCGCAGCGCCGCGTCCCGCCCGTACCAGGTCGCCGGCTTCACCAGCCGCTTCTCCAGCCGCCCCATCGCCGGACCCCACATCGCCTACACCGAAGCCGTCAGCGACACTCAGATCATGCTGAAATGGACGGTGGGTATCGCGGTGTCCTGTCCTGCCCACAGCCTGTGCTGCTGGGGCTGGTTAAAGTCGAGGATTAAGAGCTGTTTGCAGAGTGGCGAGTGGTGGTTTCCCCCGCCCGAGCCTCAGAGATGATGGTGCTCCTCCTTCGTGCCCCTCTGGTAGAACTGGGGGAGTTAGTGGGCCATGTGCCTCTCAAGCCCTTTGCCCCCATTTCCAGACCCTTTTCCCCTGTCAGAGGCAGGCCTGTCAGTTGTCTGCTGCATTTGCACCATCTCCCAGCTTCCCTCCACCCCACTCCCCTTCCAGCCCCCGGGGACAACACCCCTCCTCGGGTTACGCCAGATGTGACCCAACTGGCAGCTCCAGTGAGGGGCTGCAGCCGCCGCAGTCCACCTGCTCTGGCACAGACATAGCAGAGGCACCAGTGGGCTTAACTCTGTCCCAAGCCCTGTTCATGCCATGAGTTGTGAGCAAGTTGGCTCCGTTTCCTGCAGTTCCTGCTGCTTTTGTCAATCCAGGCTGGGGTGGCTGGGAGCATTTCAAACTCGCCGTCTTCCCTCACGTCCAGTGGAGGTTTCACGTTAGAGAAACGTTTTCCTTTCCCCTGTTACCTCGTCTATTGTAAACAAGTACTTTAAAGTCCTTATTGAAACCCACAGAAATTCTTTGCTCTTGTTTTGAAATCTAACCCCCTGGTATACTTTGGAGGATTTAATGTGTAGAGTTCCCAGTGTTAGTTTGCTCTGCTAGCTCAGCCTTAAGAGATGTTAAGGATAATAAACTTAAAATAACCTCTGGTTCCTCGGGAGGCTGCATAACTTAAAGTAAAAGATTCTTGAGCTGATTTTTAGAGTGACCTTAACTCTTTCTTAAGTAAAAATGGTTTTAACTTTTCCATCTCCATTAATCATGAAAATTTTCAGACCGGTCATGGTCAAACCCTAATTGAGGGTTTGGAAAGTGATGTGGGAGGAAAGTGTCAGCCCCAGTCAGTCTCTTCTCCCCATCCCACACTCCTTTTTTCAGCTGCTCTGAGGAGTTCAGTCACCTTTACTTGTACAACCGTATTAAGAATATTCATATGTCCAGGGGATCAGACGCTCAGTGATGGCAGCAGGACTCAGTTAAGATTTTTCTTCTCTAATGCAGCCTTTTAAAATTCTCTTGCAGTACATTACATCCAGCAACAACAACACGCCCATCCAAGGGTTTTATATCTATTACCGGCCCACGGACAGTGACAACGACAGTGACTACAAGCGGGACATTGTGGAAGGTACGGGGCCAGGCCCGGGCTCAGAGCACCCTCCACGGGAGGGACACAGTGCAGCCTTGCTGGCTGTGTTTATATGGAATCTAAACTGCTTTTCCCAGGCGCAGTCTTTACAATATATCTCACAGAAGGAGCAATCTCAGCTACCTGACGTCAGGTTCTGCCCACACATGAGCTGCTTTCTTCCTTCTGAAGCTGCTTCGATGTGGGAACTTGAGAACTAAATAACTGGGTTTAGGTTTGGCTTGTTGTACTGCTGCCCCATCCTTAGTGCAGGTCTATTTAAACTGGTAAAGCTTCAAGTTGTGTAAAGAGAAAGCAGTGTAAATGGGGTTTAACCCAGGGTAAAAACATCTGGGTTACAGACTGTACTAATAACTAGCTGGCTTTTACAATTATTTGCCCCAGCACAGACTTTCTAAGCTGGTAGTACCTTGTGTGTAATTGCCCTTCTCTCCTCTTACCTCACCTAATCACTTCTCCTGCTATAAGGAAGTTGCTTTTAGCCCCAAGTGCTGTAGCATGCTGCAAATGCAGGTATGCTTGTGCTTCATTTTGCCTTTTAATCAAGTTATTTTTTTCCCCTGTGCATATTAGATCATCATTTTCCTGGAAGAAGTTATTAGATAATGTCTATATTAGTCCAGAAGTGGAAAACCCTTTTAAAAATATTTTATTTAATGTCCTTATTGCTCGGGCTGAGCAAACGCAGTGATCTCATTCTGGCCCAATGACGTTAATTATTTTTTTCCCCCTCATTTATTTCAGTTACAAGAGGAATGGGCCTTTATTTTGAAAATTTTCCCCTGCCAGACAATTCTGCACATAGTACTTTGATGCATGACATAAGCTTTTGCACACTATAAAGCTATTAAAGATCCAGAGTTTGGGCTCAGAGGCTTTAAAGAACCTTATGCAGGCTGCACCTTCATCTGCAAATGTATTTTAGCCTTTGCTACACAGAACTTGTGTGTTTATAAGTCTTATACACTGAGCAGTTAGTTGTTTAAGTGGGCTCCACTGTGCTGTGAAATTAGCTTGTTTCAGATTTTTTTCCGAGCGTGTGTGTATTGAACTCTTTGTGGCAGTCTGAAACCATTAGCAGCTGCTCTGCTCTGCCAGAGCCTGCAACAGAAATCACTCGGTGGAAAGATTTAAACCTCATCTTTTTTTTACTGTGCTCCCCTAAATTAGCTTTTCAGGGAAAAAAAAAAAAAAAAAAAAAAAAAAGGAGACAGAACTATTTTCAATTAAAGTGTGATTGGAAGCGCTTGATGTGAAATATGTAGAGGAACATGTGACTTAAGGTATTTTTGCCATAAATCACTTGTCCTTCACTTTTTTTCCCCCTCTGTTACCTTTGAATTAATCTGTCTGTTTTTTGACAGGGAATTTTATCTTGAAATGACTGCATGAGTTGTGGAAAAAGTGTTGTGATGCCTGTGTTAGCTAAGTGCTTGCCGCAGGCTTTCCTCACCGCTTCCTGTTAAGTCTTGTCTTTCGAGACATTCAAAACTCTGCAGAAAACTTTTTTTTTTCCGTAGAAATGCCGCTACAGGCAAAATCAGATTTTATTTGAAGGAAAAAAAACCAAGCAAAAAGCTTGGTTCTGGTGGCTCCTCAGTATCTCTCAGCAGCTTTAAGCAAAAGCAAAGCAAAATCAACCCTGTCGTGCATCGATGGTCTGAATTTCTCTGTTTCTGGTCTGAATTTCTCTGTTTCGAGGGTCCTGGAGATTGAATTTTAAATGTAAATGCAGTCTGATGTCAGTTGTTTAAATGTTTTCCCTTGCTAATGGTGCAAGAAGAGGACAGTTAAAAGCGCCTGTACTGATTCCAGTTCCACTAATGGTTTGAAGCGGAAACCTAAAACCTGGTGTAGTAATTACCGAAAGGAATGCTTGGGGGTGGGGGCGCCGGGAAAACCGAGCCTGAATCTTGGGAAAACGTGCGATTTAGGGAAAGGCGGATTCCAGCTTCAGCCAGGGCTTGTCTGCCCTCACTAGAACCGACCACATCTCATCTCCTGCCCTTGTGGGGCCGGGAGGGGGGTCCTGGAGCTGGGCGGGGGTCCCGGAGGAGTTTGAGCAGTGTCAGCAGCGACAGCCCCCGCCCGCCGAGCACGCTCGGTTCTTTTTATTCATGCTTAAATCAGTAGGTGGTATGACAGTTCCTTAGAAACAGTGGAAACAGTTCAAGGTGGTATTTTCCAAGAGGGATTAAGAGCACTCAAACAGTTAATTAAACTCCTTAAAAAAAAAAAAAAATTTAAAAAAAAAGAAGGGTCGCTGTTTATTAAAATTTGTCACAAGCCCGTGAAAGTAAAAACTGGGAATGATTTATCCTGAAGTGCTCAGTACTTCAGGAGGGTGTCTAAATGAAATGCTGGCCGCGGGCCAGAGATGACAAAACGATCCTATTAGAGAAGATTGCTTGGCTTGGGCTCAGGCTCCACTGGGGCAGCAGCACCAGGACAGCCTCACTGGGTTCCCAGGATGGTTCATAAAATGCACATTTTGGCTGAGTTGAGCGACCCAGATGTGTCCTTCCTGCGAGACACAGGGGCTGCAGTCATACCTTGCACCTCAAGGGCTGCAGGCTGGGAGAGGGTCTTACCACAGCCAGGTTTTTCCTCAAGTTTTCTATGCCAGTTTTCCTTGTTATTTGCCCAGTGTGCTGTAAATTGCCAGCATAACCCACCTTAAGCCCATCTGTGCAGCAGTTCCGTGTTTAGGATGCACAGGGCTGCTGTTGAATTTAAATGTGCAGATGTTGACACTTGGATGTCTGTTTTTTGACTTTAGTGAGTTCTGGCTTTTGTAGAGAAGGATTTTTTTTTTTTTTAAATCAATTGCCAATAGTGAAAAAGACTCACTTTTATTCATTAAAAGGTTCTTCTAATTTTCAATTTCACAAGATAATGTGAATCTTATAGAACCATGGAATGGTTTGGGTCAGAAGGTACCTTAAAGAGCATCTAGTTCCAACCCCCTGCCATGGGAAGGAATACCACTCATAGATCATGGTTTCAGCTAAGTCCATAAACAGTTACTAAAGATTTCTGTGCTAACAGGAGAAGATGCAATATCCCTGCACTTGGTAGAGAAGGACCCTGCAATACACTTGTCCCTAATTCTGGCTCACGGGAGTAATTGAGCTGCAGTCGATTTATTTATTCTCCCCGCACAGGTACGAAGCAGTGGCACCTGATAAATCACCTGCAGCCTGAAACTTCTTATGACATTAAGATGCAGTGCTATAACGAGGGCGGGGAGAGCGAGTACAGCAACGTGATGATCTGCGAGACCAAAGGTGAGGCCGCGGGGCTGAGCCCAGGTGGCGTTCGGGACGCGAAATACCCACCGTGGGGAGTTCTGCGAGCAGCTCCAAAGTCAGCTGCGATGATGACTGCGATTTTCTGGAGTGTTTTGGAGGATTGTTTTGTCTTCCGAAGCTGAGATTGTTTTGAACATATGGAAAGTGATCCCTTGCACTCCCGAGGCTCTCAGCGAAGCTCTGCAGCTTTGCCTGTCCTCAGAGATAGCGCTGGCTCTGCGGTGCTGATGGCCTCTCCTCAGGAGACAACCATGCGCCTGAAGATGACAGAATTGATTTGTATGTCTGTTTTATGTCTTGGGGGCTCTGTGACACGTTGTATAAGTGCAGACCACAGCAATTGATGATTGTGTTGGCTGCCTCCATCCCTAATCCTGCATGCCTCTGGCACAAAGTTCGTACTGTTCTCGGGAAGTGTCAGATATGGCAGTCACATTTATTTTGCGAAGGATTCCTGTCTCCTTTAATCTCTAAAACCAAGTAAGGCTGTAAAGGGAAAATGCAGACAGTAAACTTCAAATGCAGTGCTATGAAAAAATGCTTTTCAAAAAAAAAAGAAAAAAGCCCTCTGGGAGCGGAAGCATCAAAATTCAGCGAAGTGAGTAGTGAAAGCTTTGAAGGAAGGAGTAGGAGCTGCGGGGCTTCAAGACTGTGAGCACAGTTGTTCTCCCTCCTGCAAGGAATATAACTTTCTTCTCTAATTTTAAAATTGACAAGACATAATCTGTCATTTACGCTGCCTCTTCCTTAAAGTGCATCTCCCCCAGGCTTATAGGGGCGATCCAGTTTATCCAACATACCTCCAATGGAGGTGCTTGAGTCTCTTTGACCAGCTTCACTCCTAAACCAGGCACCTCTTTTATGTTTTCAGTGTCAAATGAAATTAATCTGAGCTGTGGTGTGCTGGAAACTAATGCAAATATAATTCCTGGGTTAAACTACCATCTTGTTTTTAGGGATTTTCTGCTCAGCTCTTGGTATGGTTTGGAACAGGGGTTAGGAGGGTTCACATCAGATAAAAGTAGGTCATCTGGCAGAGGCTGGGCGAGAGAAATGCGTGTTGTGGTTTTTCCTGACCTCAGAAGTGGAAAGATTTGCGCTCTTTCAAGTTGGGAGTTAGAGCAGTTGTAGCCATACGAACCTCGAGTGGCTCATTAAAGTTTCAGTGACCTCAAAGAGGGGGTGAGCAGGCAGGATAATCACCATTTTCCAAGGCAAATAGCTATTACCCAATAGCAGTTGGCCTTCTCCTTGTAGGATTTAATATTGACTTGGAAAGCTTTCTTTGTGAGGCATTAGGACTTGAACTCTGCAGTAATTATTTTCGTTTCATAACGAAAATGAGCATTTAGAAAATGCAGTGAGTGAGTGTGCCCATACCTGTCTCTGCTCATCCAGTGAAACGCACGCCGGGAGCGTCCGAGTACCCGGTGAAGGACCTGAGCACCCCGCCCAGCGCCCCGGAGCGGGCAGGGGGCAGCGGGGCCGGGCCCGCCAGCGGCCCCGTGCGCAGCAGTGACATGCTCTACCTGATCGTGGGCTGTGTCCTGGGCGTCATGGTCCTCATCCTCATCGTCTTCATTGCCATGTGCCTCTGGAAGAACCGGCAGCAGAGCGCCATGCAGAGTGAGTGGGGGCCGCTTCCCTTCCGCAGTGCAAATATTATCGGGGTAAAATTAGTAACGCTCATGCTTGCATTTTATGGGTGGGAAGTGCCTTCCTGTTAGGAACCAGCTGGCATTTCTGGAGTGACTTGCACTTCTAGGTGTGCCCTGGGTGCAGATTTGGGTTTTTAAGAGCGGCAGTGTCTCCATTGCTTTGCACCGGTGCTCCCTGCCCTGCTGCATCCCTGGAGGGTTGTGCTGCAGTTTCACCCAGAGAATGGTGTGAGAAAGGCCTGGGCAAAATTTCTGCAGCTTATGTTTAACTTTAAGCCCCTTCCTATGTCTCTGCTGACTGCAGAGGCAGAGCCTGTATAATTTTAAGTACTTGTTAAATGTGGAGAGTTAAACCCTGGGTCTCTCCCTTTCTCGAGTGTATCTGGAAAGAACAAATGTGCAGCACTAGGACAGGTCCCTTATTACCTCTCAGTCCCTGCACAGTGAGATGGCATTCAATGGCCAAGTCTGTCAGAGAGGTGTTAATCAGGTGTTCATTAGCAAGCAGGAGCCTGGAGCAGGAGCTTTGCAAGGTGCTCTGCACCCACCATCAGCCTGGTGTCAGCAGAATCTCTGCACTGGCCTTTTCTGTTCCTTGTGCATAAATCAGCCTTGCTATTGCCACGGCTTGTGGTTATTTTTAAATGTCCTTACTCTCTGACAGAGAGAAATGAAACAAAACTTCTTGCAAGATAAGATAGTGCCTTCAGCTGCAGCCCAGAGAGATTTTTGGGAAGCAGCTCAGAGTAGATAGCAGAGGGGCTATCGATGATACAAATGGCCCATTTTTAGGATGCTCTTGTAGAGACCGATGTCAGCCAAGTCCTTCCAGACCAACATTCCTGGTCTGCTCTCCAGGATGTGGCTGTTTTCCATGTCTATACTAGTATACTGAGCACTTGGATATCAGAGTTAGTTCACAAAAGCTGTAGGAAGACAAAATAAGCTTATTTACTTTTTAGGGACGCTCCTTTAGCTTCTCATTTGGCAACAAAGGCGTGCTTTCAGTAGTAATGTCTTTTGCAGAGTACGACCCTCCTGGGTACCTCTACCAAGGGGCAGATATCACCGCGCAGATGATCGAGTACACGACCCTGCCCGGGACCAGCCGCGTCAACGGCGGCATCCACGGGAGCTTCCTTGGCAACGGCCTCGGCAACGGCTGCCCCCACCTCCACCACAAAGTTGGCAATGGAGTGAACGGGATCATGAATGGAGGAGCAGGACTGTACCCAGGGCACACCAACTCCCTGTCCAGGACACACGTGGACTATGAGCACCCCCACCACCTCGTGAACGTAAGCTCTTACACCGGGTGGGAGGCTCAGCACAGACCTTGGGATTTACTCAGGGGCTGTGCAAGCAGACTTAATTTGGGTGGAGGAATACTCATCCATTGATAACAGCCAGTTCCACTGAATTCTTTATCCCAGAGGAAGCAACTGGGCTGATATTTGTGATACAAACATCATGGTTTTCATTTGAGGATATCAGATGACAGCAAGAATTCCACTTACTCTGGGAAATCTGCCTCTACCCTCCTCCTAACAGCATGTAAGCTCTGAGAATGCCTCAGTGCTGGGCTGAGATCCTTTACTCGTACATATGGTATTTCTCAATCTCCAAGTTAAATAGATTTAATTATAGCTGCTTATTCTGCAGCTTTATGGATCACCCGTTTTTCCCCCACCTGTTTCAGATCTGTAACTCTGAGCAATGCTATTAATTATGGCAAAGCACGAATGGAGCAGGAGGTTCCGTGGAATGAAGTGCCCCATACATCTTGAACTGCAGCAGTGCAGTAACGCTGCTGCTTTTTCTTTTTTTTTTCAGTCTCCTGTTTGTGACTGTTGAGACAGGCTCGGTTTTTGTTTTGAAATTGAAAATAAAATTAAAAACTAATTTCAGTCTGCGATCCAGCCTTTGTATGCTGTGGAAAAATACTTCATTTGCTGAAACGTGTCCCGTTTCCAAGAGAGAATAATGATTTCATTATTGTCTATGGAAACAGATGGCTTGCATTCAAACTTACTAAACTTACTCAAAACTGTGAACATTGCCCAGGAAAACTGAAAGAAAAAGTTCAAAAGTCTGAATAACCCATGCTGTTTCTGGAGAAAAAAAATGGGCCTATTGTTTGTGTTGGTAATTGAGCACAAGCACTTCATTTTATTGAACAACAAATTAGCACTTGCACAGTAGTTGCCACTTCAGTTCCCTCCTGTTTCAGCCCAGACCCGTCAGTTTTTCACCTGATTCTGTCCTTGGCCTGCAAGAAGTGCCCATTTTTGGTTGTTTTCAAGAGCACCCAAGGCCCAAACTGGGTTTTTTGGACCTGTCCAAACTCCCAGTGGGTGAAACTCTCCAGAAGTCTCCAAGCCCTCAGGGAGAGAATGTTTGTGGTGCTCAAAAGCGGTGCTCAAAAGCTCGCCTGCGAGAAAGCCTGGGGGCTTGCACTGATGTTTTGTCCCTCCTATTTTTGTTTTTTGGAGGGCTAGGGGGAAAGAGGGAAATACATGTGTTGTGACAGAGGTCTCAGTGCTTGGAGCTCCTCTGTGCCACGAGCTGTCCACTCAGCGCCGCTGTCTGTAGGTGATGGGGCTGAGTTTTTTGCTCCCCACTCCTCGTTGTAGAAAGTTTGAGTCACAGGATCTCTGCCCACGGAGCAGGCCCGGGACTGGCATGTGGGCGAGGCAGCACAGGGGAACAGGATGTTCTCATCCTCGTTAGGCCGCTCTTCATTGTTTCAGTGATTGGGCTAAATGAGGAAAGGAGAAACTGGCCAGGATGGCAATCAAGACTAATTAGGCATTTCCTCAGTGCTCCCTTATCCTTCAAAAACTTCAGGACAAGCCCTGTTTGTGCGAAAACAGGGGTTGTTAGAAGTTCCCTACCACTTGAACTGCCAAAAGCCAGGTGAGTCTCCCCGGCCCGGCTCCCTCCTGGAGCCCGGCGCGGGATCCTGGCTCCGCACCCCGCTCCGAGCGGCTCCCGCAGCGCTGTCCGCCTGGTCCCTAACAATGAGGTATGTGTTAATCTGGGCATTTCGACTGGCTTGTAATGGCCCCCTCAGCCAAAACCAACAACACAAAATCCCTCGCACCCCGAGTCATTGCTGGCTGAGGAATTACCCCATCTGTACAAATACGAAACGGTTCAAAAATCAGTGTAGCGAAGTAAACTGATCTAATCGGACTAATTACAGGAAAGTGGGATGGGTTTGTGTGTGACATCAGCCCTCCAAATTTAATCCCCTGTCTCCCCAAATGAGCCTGGTGTGCTAACGAACAGCAATTCGTTTTCGTGTCTGTCATCAGCGTTAAAAATAAACATATTTACAGTGTGTTTATTAAATTAAACCTCAGCATATTAAGCTGAAAACAGACCAGGGAAATGACCACATACTTGTCTAAGCTGCAGTTATTTACTTTTCCCTGACACACACGCTGGCAAAGCCCTCCCCTGGCCTTTGGACAATCGCTCAGTGTTGCTGTGCTGTGTTCGGCCCAGAGTGGGGCATTGATAAGGTGACTGGAGTGGGAAAACCAAGGCAAGGAGCTGAGCTGCCTCCTCAGCACCTCCCTTGGATGTTCTTATAGTGATCTGATTTCTAATAATTCCCTGTTAATCCTTCCTGCTGCAGGGTTCCGGGATGTACTCGGCAGTGCCGCAGGCTGACCCCTCGGAGTGCATCAGCTGCCGGAATTGCCGGAACAATAACAGGTGAGGAATGGCCTGCACGAAGGCAGGACCTGCCCCCAGAGCAGCCCTGGCTCTGCGTGCTGTGGTGGAGCTGGGACTGACAAAAGCCGAGAGCTGGAGTTCTGGCCCAGGGCATGAGGAGCTGCGTGTCAGGGGATGGCTCGGAGAACAGTTGGGAATTGTCCGTGGGATGGAATAAAACAAGTTGTTAACCCCCCAGAGCTCACTTTGCTCAACACGCTCCTCTGAGGCTCTCTAGGAAGCAAAGCAGGTTGGGCACTGGATTTTTTTTAAAATCCTGACTTCCTGTGTTTTCTTCAGCTTTGAGATAACAAGATCATTCCATGTGGAGTTTGTCAAATCGGATTTAATTGGTCTTCTGCATTTTACACTTCCTGCCATTCCCTTAAGAGCACTGACCAACTGCAGTTGCCCCTTTTCCTTCACAATGCTATTCTTTGTAAAACGTGGGATTTGAGGTTCTTCAAGGCATTCAGGAGCAGTTTGACCAGCCACTGTCAGTGTGGGATAAGATTTTTTTCATGGGGAAAAGGATTCTTGTGTAGAATAAGGGAAAATCTATCTTCTATGTTGTATCTGGGAGTCAGGAGCCTAATAAACATCATTAGGTTTTTCACTTTTGGAAGTTTTAATGAATATCCTTCCAGGCTTCTAACTAAATCTCTGGTTATTTTAATGACTATAAATAGGACTGAAAGTCAGACAAGCTGGGCTACTCTGACTTGTAAATTCTGGTCCTTTTTTTCAATCATACTTTGATTTTTCTGTATTGTTAAAATGTTCAGTTGCCTTTAGGTGTGCATCTGGAGAAGCTGAGTTGAAATTAATTATTGAATCATTGAATATTCTGAGTTGGACCTACAAATAACACCGAGTCCCACTCCTGTTGCACAAATAAGCTGTTCTTGAAGGCAAAAAATGTGTTCACTTTATTTTCATGAGTTTACTTTTTAAATGTCACTTATAATAGGCTTTAAATCCTTCTTCCTTCCATAAATGTATGCGTGGTAGTGTAATACTGACGAGCTGCTGCTCGCACGTGGAGCTGGGCACGCCTGGCCGGGACCAGTGTCCCAACAGGTCTCCAGGGAAGCCCAGCACGTTCCCTCACACACCACTTGTGTGTTTTCCAGCAGGCTCTGCAGCAGCTCTCCCCAGGATGTCTGTGCCTCGCTGTAATTTGGAACATGCCATATGTGTTCCGCTGTCGTTAAGAGCTTTTAAGCACATTCAATTTTTTACTTGCTCTTTTTTACCCTGAGAAAGCAGGGAGTGGGTTCCATCCTCTGCAATTGCACTGCTCCTGCCAGACGGGTCATCAGTGGGGCCTGAACTCTGAGTTTTCCCATCCCCCTTCTATATTTGACTGCTTGATAGAGAAACAACTTGTCCCTTGCAGCTGCCCTTCCCCGGAGGGGACCATTAACCTCCGCTCCTGCCCCGGCACAGGGGAATGGAAGGAGGACATGGGAGAGGGGAATGGGGACGGACCAGAACGTGCCTGAGCATTCCACCAGGGAGCTGGGTGTATGGCCAGGGCGAGGAGGAGGAGGAAGGCTTGGGGGCTGGAGTCTTTTCCTTGTTTTTATTTAACCTCGTGGCACAGGTAAGGGCTGTTCCCTCCACCTGGGCTCCTGCTGGTGGAAAGAGAACCTCCTCCTTGTCTCACCCTGGAATCACTGCACCTTTTGTGCTGGAAGAGGCAATTCCCTGTGCAGCCCAGGAGGACAAGGAGGTTCAGGTGGAAGTACCTGTAGCAGGGTCTCCAGCTCAGGAGCGTTGTGGGTGCACGTGGCCTCAGCGCCACAAATTCCTCACTGACCCATTTCCCCCAAGCACCTGGAGCTGTTGCTGGTTTGGGTTGAATTTAGCAGTTATTTGAATTGTGACCATGTGCAAATGAATCCTAGGGGTTCAACGTATTTCATAGCTGTTTTCAGCAATAGCCATCTCGTTTTTATTATGCCAGTGCTGAAATCCCTGGATCTTCTGTTTAAATTAGCACTTTATCCCTCCTAACTGCTTGTGGAGCCTTGCCAGAGGGAGAAGCTGCTGAAACCTGGAGACCTGCTTTGCTATTGTGGACAAAGCCTGTGGTTGACAGCATTGAGAACTGATCTTTTTTTCTTCCCTGGTGCTTTTGTGTTAAAGCTCTCGAGATACCTGGTGGCTGCAGAGGAATTTACACTTTTGCAGATCCCTCTTTGCAAATTCACTGTGTTTTGATCAGAAATGTGAAATGCACGTTTCAAATGTAGCAGCTTGTTTTTCTGGTGCTTTCCTCTAAATTAGGCTTTATTTAGGTTATGGTTTGGTAGCACTGAGAATTGATAGAAAATGTGTTTTCTGCAGCAGGGATTTTACATCACTCTTCCTGCACACTCTGCCCTGGATATCCCCATGGCTAGTTTCCATCACAGTGTGGTTATTTAAGCTTAAGAAGCTGAACTGCTGTCTGGAAACATCCTTCAAGCCCCTACAATAATACAGAGAACTACACCAACCTCTGTATCTTTAAGAAGAACCCCCAGAAACATGTAAACCCAAACATTTCTAATGGGTTTCTCTGAGCTTTTTTTCCAAATAATGAGTGAGTGCAGTCAAAACCTCTGCGGAGAGAAAGGCAAACTAATAAATGGATTTGTTTGAAGACCAGATGTGTTTCATGTGGATTCTTCAGTGGCTTCTGTGGTATTTTGGTACTTGGAATAATGATTTTGGAGGCAGTTACGGGAGCAGAAGGACAAAATAGGAGAGAGAAGGTTGAAAATGAAGCTTGGTGCTGCGCCATCCTCATGGCTTTTGGGAGGGGAGCAGGCTCTGGAGGGATGCCCCTTGTCCTCTCTTTTGGCTTTGCACATGAAGCATCTGCTGGAAGGGAAACTTGCACCAGTTCCTCCTCTAGGAAGTTTATTCGTGTTGTTGTTGGATGTTTTGTTGCTCTTTCAGTTTGGGCAAAGCTGATCACGGGTTTTGGTCAGGTTTCAGGTGTGAACTGAGGCTCCTGTAGGGCAGGTCCCTGGAGGGTGATGTTTTTATGCATTGCCCTGACCTTTTTAAAGGCATAAAAGTGGTTTCTGAGACTTGGGCAGGACTTTGCTGTGACTGCCAAGCTTTTAAACCTGTCTGAGCTCAGTGCTGAGGTGCTCAGGGCTCCACTGCTGTTGGAGGTGGCTCCGCTGGCTGCTGCCCTGGCACTGCTGACGTCCCAGTCCATGTTCCCCTCCTCTTCCAGCCATATTCCATCATCCCTCCTCAGTTTTGGGCCAGAATCACTGTGGAGCAGCACACCAAGCCAGCACCTGAGCAACCACGTCCCAGGGAGCAATTTTTGTACTTCCAGATGCCAGGCTCAGGCAGCCCCAGGGACAGCCCAGAGCAAGTGCACTGGGCTGGTCCCTGTGAGCAGAGCAGGCAAGGGATGGATTTACACTTGGTAGGAAAAATGAGGAGGATGCTCAGAGTTGTACCTGTATCAGCACATAAAAACCTGAAGCCTGTTCAGCCTTTGTGGGAGTGTTTTGGAGGATCTCTGGTGGATGTGAACACTCTCCATCCTTATTTCCATGCTTTTATCTGCGGATCCATCTCTGGAAGAGTTTTGGGGGGTAGTTTCCCAAAGTTTGTGGTAGCTCTACAAGTAAACCTTTTCCTTTTGGGGTAATGATGTCTTAATCTAAAATCACATTGAAGTGGAGTATTGGGGGGGACAGGGTGTGCTGTTTTCTTATGTAGGAATTGTTTATATAAATGTTCCCTGAGGCCAGATTGTCCACGTTGCAAACACTGAGGCGTTTTCCCTGCCTGCTGCAGTGGTACATGTGTCAAAGTCCTGCTCCTTTTTGGTTAAAGGGTAAATACCTCAGTTGTAACAATGGATTCACCACTTTAGCTTCAGTTCCACAGCCGTACATACGTATTAGAGGGCCACAATCTGACTGGCACAGCAGAAGAGGGGGTTAAATTTATAATCTTGCATCTGTTTTTCTGATTTGCCTTCACTCTGATAACACTTAGTATTTTTTTCCAAGGTACATAAGTTTGCTGCTCGTGTTTCAAAATTTGAGCTCTTTATCTTGGCAGCGAAAATGTGTTTTGTGGGGTTGCTTTGATGGAGAAATGGACTCACAAGTCAGGTCGTTGGGTCACAATCGATGGGGGAAGGAACTGAGCGTGTTTCGAATGTTTTCAGCTGTCTGTTGGGAGAAAAAAACCCACTCGGTCCTTTTCTTGATGTCGGGATTGCTCCAAAAATATATTTAAAACTGATGTGACTGTTGACATGTGGTAAAGCACTTAAAAGTTGCACTTTCTCAAGATGACGGGGAGGGGGGGAAGAAGCCGCTCCGGGTAACTGTGGCCTCTGTCCCGCCCGCAGGTGTTTCACCAAAGCCAACGGCACTTTCGGCAGCGCCGCCCTGCCCGTGGTGCCCCTCGGAGCGCCCTTCCCGCAGGACGGTGTGGAGATGAAGCCCCTGAGCCCCCACGTGATGGTGGCCATGTGCTTGGCCTCGGCCGGCCCCGAGTGCGGCGCCCGGCTGGAGGAGGACGGCGAGGAGAGCGCGGAGCCCCCCCGGCACCCCTGCTGCCAGCAGGGCGTGAGCAGGGACTGCACGGACGGTGAGGCACCCCGGGGAGGGCAGCACCTGGCTCTGGGGCCGGCAATGTTCTGTAGGGCAGCTGTAGGGTCCTTAATGGATCGTGGAGAAGCTGGTAATTAAGCCCACAAAAGAGCTGGCTCTTTGAGGAAGGTTAAGCGTCCCGCCTTGTGCCTGGTCCTGTCATGTCCTTGTGACTGATGCCTCTAAACGGGGCTCATCCAGCACATAACGAGGCTGTGACTGATTGATGCTGCCCCCACAGGGCACCAGTGGGCTCCAGCACTGCTGAAAAGCTTCCTAATGGAGTTTTCCTTAATGAGCAGGCATTCCTGAGGGCCCAGAGCCATCCTGGAGGCAGGAACAGGCACAGGGAGGGAGCTGGGCTGACCCTTGTGAGCTGTTCCATAGCAGTGCTGTGCCAGGACAGAGCCCATGCCCTGTGCTCGTGCCTGGTACAGTAGGAATGAGCCTGAGCCCAAAGAGCATCACCCACTGGAATTAGGAACTTTGGGGGCATGTGGGTCTGTTGAGCTGACAGGATTTGCTGAAAAAACCCAACAACAACCACCCGCCCTGTTCTTGCTTCACAGGCGACAGCTGCGTGCACTCAGAAACATCGAACCACATTTTGAGCTGGAGTCCCCTCATTCTGCAGCCTGTTTCCAAGGACTGTAAGGAAAAACCAGGATGGAGTTCATCCAGAGTCACCTTAAACAGTTCTGGGGACCTTCGGCAGCTCCAGCTGCAGGAAACCTGAGGAAGTGACCGTTGTCCCCACTTAAAGCCAGGAACTGCCAGTGTCGCTGAGAGGGAGTGATGGGGGGATGTTAATTATAACAGAGAGAGTCACTATTTATTTTTTGTAGTAGTGTCATATGAATGTATCTTGGTTTTCAAAATGGTTGCCTTTTTATATTATTTATGCCTTGAAATCCCTTTTTTTTTTTTTGTTATTTTTTTCCCCCCTCACACCCTGCGAAACTAGCCTGGTTTATGTATAAAAAAGAATTGTAATAATATAAAGAAGGAGGATGGGAAATGTGGAGTGTGTTTCCGTGGCATGTTACCAGTGTGAGAAGCGCTTCTGAGGAGCCCGGGACAGGGATTTGAGCAGGTCTGATGTTGTGACCGATGGCTGCCACCTCCCTGGCAGCTTGGCGACGTGCTGCTCAAACCATCCTTTCCATCAACATATCCCCTCCTCTTTCGGTTTCTCTGGGAAGATCTCGATGGGGAAATGAGAAGATAAATAAGAAAATTGAGCCTCAGCTGAGTCTGTCCAGCACAGCTTGAAGCAGAGCTTGGGTCGGTGACTGTGTCTTCAGATGCTTGATAACCCTTCTGTCTGCAGAAGTACAGGTGGAAATCCAGCCTGTCTCACCTTCCCGCTCACAGAAGACAAAATCCAGTTCTACTCTTGGTTTGAGGGAATACTAACAGTTTGGAGAGATCCAAAATGAAACCAGTCATGTTGGAGCAGCTCCCACCGGCCCTGAGCGTGGCTGTCAGGAACCCACCCGCCCCGGACACAGCACGATGGAGGTGTTGCAACCCTAACTGCAGGGCTTGGGTAGGTTTTTTTTTTCTTTTTCCTTTCCAAATTTAATCCCAGAAAATAAAACAACCTGGTGCTTGTAAAGCACCCCCCCCCCCCCCCCCCACCTCACGAGCACATGATCCCAGAAATGAGGTGCATAACTTACAGTTACGGCTGCCCTGGGACGACGCCTGTGCAGCACCTTTGCATGGAGCACCATGTTCCTGGCCAGGATGGAAAAGTAGGAGACCATGCTGGCCTGGCTGTGGCTGCTCCAAATCCCTCGAGGAGCTCAGGCTACAGGTGCAGCCCCACCAGTCGTGGATTTTGGGGAGCGACGCCTGTGCAAGAAGGGAGTGCTTGAGATCTGCTTTGGCAGCCGTGTCTCCGTGGGCTGTTCCCAGTGCTGGGATGGGCTTTTTCCTTTTCATTGAATCCCAGAAGGGTTTAGGTTGGGAAGGACCTTAATGCTCATCTCATTCCAACCCCTTGCCATGGGACACCCTCCACTAGCCCGGGTTGCTCCAAGCCCCGTCCAACCTGGCCTTGGACACTTGCAGAGATGGGGCAGCCACAGCCTCTCTGGGCAGCCTGTGCCAGGGCCTCACCATCATCCCAGGGAGGAATTTCTTCCCACTATCCAGTCTAACCCTGCCCCCTATCAGTGGGAAAACATTCCCCCTTGCCCTATATATATATATAACTATCTGCCTATATAAAAAGTTCTAGCCCCTTTTTATAAGCCCCCTTCAGGTACTGGAAGGTCACAGTGAGCTCTTCCCAAAGCCTTGCCTTCTCTTCCTCTTCTCTTCTCTCTCTTCTCTTGCATTATTTAAGGTTGTATTTTTTTTTTTTTTTTCCTTTTTTAGGGTTTTGGATCCTCCCAGCCAGAGCTGCCTTATTCTGAAGTTCCCTGCAAACCCCAGACCTCACATCCATGGGCTTTGACTGGCGTGTATCCCGGAGCCACCACAGAGCCCCCTCTTCCCCCTTTGCTTATCTCCTCCTTGCAGTCTGGACTTTCCCTTCACAAGACCTGCTGCGAGGC